GACTTTTCCACTGAATTTCACATAGACTTGCTTTCCAAAAAGGTGATCGCTTCTACATTTGTGGCGTAGGAGTTAACGTGCCAAGCTTACACACTGCACTGCCACGGTTCGATTCCCGTTTGGTGTATCAAAAAGACCTATGCGAGGTCGAAACTGCAGTCCACCCTGGATGAGAACACCTTATGGGAAAGCAAGGCTATGTCAAATTCAATGAAGGCGTCAGCTCTACTCATAACGTTGTGGGGAAAATCAACTACCAGTCCTTCATAACCTTAAACGAAATAGGGCGAACACAATTCATAGATTTGGCCTATCCTGGCCGGCTATTTGATTCAACTTGGTAACAAGTTACATGTGCTCTAGTAGTTAGAGCCATTGTCAGGACACACACACACACACACACACAACGCACATACAAACAAGGAAACACTTATTACACAATGTCGCGTCCTTGTACTCTATATACCGCATTGCTATTTAAAATTATAGTTTATAAAGGTGCTAAAACGAATTTGGAAGATCAGGAAGTGTAATAAGAAAACTCCCCTCCAAACGTTCATTTATCATGTACAGCTAGTGCATACAGTTTAGTGTTTGCCGAACCAATGGAATTATTTTTGATATTGATGTTTGCGGTTTTTGATACTATTAAAATAAATTTGGGTTAATTGTTATTATTATTAATGCATTGCTTTCTTTGTTAGTTTTTTGTTTTAATAAAACGTAAAATTTTAAGATTTACCTAAGCAAGTATTGGGCAAAATAAGATTTCTCCAATGGGAGCGATGCAGAGCTTAGTATATTTTTTGAACTGAACTAGCATGATTAATATTTTAATAAGTAGAATAACTCTTCTTTTTATTGTGGTTTGGTGTATGAATTAAGTTGATTTGTTTTTGTTATATCTTATTTGCTATTTGTTCTCCAAGTAACCTTGAATGGGACAGACGTTCGACCTTTATTCTGTCATTTTGATTTTCCCCTATCTTCGTTCTTTGTTTCCCTTTCCTTTTATCCAACATCTACCGGAGATCGGATGGGATTCGCTAGCCTTGTAGAGGAAAAATTCAAGCTACTTTCGCATTAAATATAAAAAAGTAGGTTTATTAACCATCTGTGGATCTGGAAGGCCATTACTAGAAAAATGAAACTGGCAGATCCAATGGACACACAATGACCACAATGACCACTTTCAAAATGGAGCAACTCTCCTCCTTTTCAGCCAAACCGTAGAGTGTAGAACTCAATCCTACAAATTTTTCACGGTGTACGTATATCTGAATCTATATATATCTACCTACCTACCTACCTATTTATATATATATATGCATACATACATACATACATACATATACATACACGCAAGAGCGTTCATACAAGTAGCTCTAATACGAGGCTCGAGGTCACATGTATGTAGAATTAAACATGCATAGTCCATTGGTTCTGAGAATATCTGTAAATTTTTTTATTTATGATATATTTATATATATATAGAGAGAGAGAGATAGAGGGAGAGACTAGAACGTTTGTCAGACACAACCCTTCTTTTTTAGTCTATGTTTTGAGGCCTCAGTCATCTAAGAGAAAGCCAAGATACGCAGACAAGTAAATGAGTACTTCGTGTGAATTCGCTTATGTATGTGTATGCTTGTGTGTGCGGGAGAGTAAGACCGAGTACGTGTATATGCAGGTATGTGCGCTTAGGTGTGTGCATGTGTGCATGTATATATGTGTTTGTGTGTGGCACATGCAGGCTCGCGCATGTGGATATGCCCAGAATGCAGAATGGTGAGAGAGGAGCAAGGAGAAGTGCCAGATGAACTGGTTGTTGTGAGCAGTCGGTACCACTATTTTCTCGATTTTGCTAAATTGGGCCAGAAAAATGTCAACCGTAAAAGCACGTCTTCTTTCAGTCCGTCCAGGGAGTTGCCTTCTGTACTAAATCAGCTTGCCCTCAATCCGGGCCTCATTTTTCGAAATCACCAGCACCAACTTATCTTACATTTGGCCATACACTGGAGTCGTCGTTGTGAAGGGTCGATTGTTGTCCCTTTGACTGTGATAATAATTCATTTTACGATAAGATATTTGCCCAAAATTGGGATTGTAAAGCGAATATGCATCCACGGGCATTCGCTTCTGGACCACGGGACTCGGACAAATGCTCAAGGGTTTTTATTTCCCGCCTTTCTAGACGGGAGTCTATTTTACCGAGTGAAAACTTGAGGTTAAAGTGGGGCCGGAAGTTGAAGGAGATGCAAATGGGCAAGAAATGGCCCCTGATTTGCGGGAAGTTAGACGTCCTGAGTGTGTGTGTGTGTGTGTGTGTGTACGTATGGTCCGGATCGGGCTTTCTGGACTACAACTTCACTTGGAAGAGCCGCCGTGAGAGACCCTCGGATTTTGAGGAGCCATGGTCTTCCGGCTGGGGCCGAGGTAGCCCGATTGGCCCCTCAAACGCTTACCTACAGTCTGGTTGGCGTCCGAAGAGACGTTTGATAGGCCAATAATGATACCGATTCTTCTCAAGCCCATCTCTAGGTTTGTTGCCTTGCTGATAAGCTCGAGTTCATTTGGTGACGGGTCTCCACACTCGAAAGGTATGAACTAGCCAGATGTAACATGCTGGGCTCATGGCCGGCCTCATGGAGGATGTTTTCTGACTGTGGCCTTGTGGATCAGGCGGTTGGCGATTTAAACGAGAACCGATATCCCCTCGCCTGGGCTCGAGCCGGTTGTCAAGAGACCATCACAGTGGAGATACGAATCCTGGCAACTGAGCCTGCCTACTTTGGGCTGTTCCACAATGCAGACTGCCTATCAGCCGCCCATCTTCTCTA